CTCTCTGTCTCTCCGTCTCTCCGTCTGTCTGTCTGTCTGTCTGTCTGTCTGTCTGTCTGTCTGTCTGTCTGTCTGTCTGTCTGTCTGTCTGTCTGTCTGTCTGGTTTGCTTGTGTGGCTTCCGGAGAGTGTGTCTTGATACGGCTCAGGTTCCCGAGCAAATTATTGATGCGGCATGCAGATTGAGGTCCCCAAAACCTAAACTCTAAACCCTAAACCCTAAACCCCAACTTACGGTGCTCCACGGTGTTCAGGGTTTCTCGTTGCTTCTTGACAGCCTTGGGGGTTTATGGGGCTCAGGGCTGAGGGCTTGGGGTTTCGGGTTTTAGGGTTTAGGGTTTTGGGTGTTATGGTTTCGGGCTCGGGGCTTAGGGCTTGGGGTTTAGGGTATCGGGTCTATCTTGGCCTCGGCTTTGGCTTTGTCGCCATGTCCAGCACTGCAGCTTCGTAGCTTCGCAGGATGTAGGGAAAGCATAGCCACTTCAGCAAGCACCTTGGCAAGCTCTATCTTCGAAGCCTACTTCTGAGCCATATAAGGACGTTTTTCGCAGCATCTGCGAGAAGTTCTGGACCGTGCAGAGAAAGAACATGGCCGTGCCGCTTGGTCGAATTCGCAACCATGGGGAGGGGTTGAAGCCAAACCCCTCCACCCGGGACCACGAACCTAAATGCCTTTATGGCATTTCTGGTGTATGACTGCGATTCCTTCATATAATCCATGCACAATGATCACGGTACATGACACACGCACACACAACCGTGTGGCACGCCCACTCCCCCTGCAATCCGAAAACACGAGACGATGTTCAAATCCGCGCCGGCGCTCGAAGGCCAGGCTCCGAAACCCCTCCGTGTGGTGAATGCGCTTGCACCCGTACGACAGGGGTAGTTCTCTAAATTAGGGTCCCGTTTGAATTTTTGGTCCCCCATCTAGTACGGCACCCTTATGGAAGGGACCTTAAAAGGGACCCCAATTGAGAGAACTACCCATATGCACTCGGGAGTTGGAGTCTAGGGTGTGCGGTATTTGTTGATCTGTAGGATTTCTAGGCCCTAGGCTTAATGAGGATTCGTAAGGTTGCCTCATTTGACTCAGGAGCCTTGATTGCAGGGGCTCCCGGTAGCAAGCTCAACACGATGGGCCATCTTCGACTTTGGGATTTAATCACTCTGATTTTCATCCGAACCCGAATGCTGAGCAAGGGCTTAGGAGCTTCACACGGTCTGGGGTCTTTCAGAAGGCTGAACAAATCCGCAAGCTCCACACTGAAAACTGAAAGCAGCCTAGGCTGCTCTTAGCTCTCCCCAAGAAGCGGTACTTCTCAGGTGGATCCCGGCCAACCTCTTTGCATACAAGTTCGTGCCGCCCCGATTCCGCCGCCTGGTCTGAATTTGCTGCTGAGATCGGTGGTGTCACGCGGTTTGCTGGGCATAAGCAATTTGACTTCCGGTGGAGGATCTGGATTGTGTTCGTTGCATCGGCGCACACGTGCGAAAGGTTTGATTTGATGTTCTGATTCTTGCAGCCACGTTAGGCCCTCAAGCAACATAACCGTATAGACCCTATAAGCCCTACCTAAATTCTAAATTCTGAACCCTGAACCCTACCCAACAACCTGAAACCCTATAAACCCCAAACCCCAACCCGGTAGTCGGCAGCCCTGCTAAACTTGCAACCAACTCTTGTCTCAGCCAAACGTTCGCTTTGAAGCCCTAAACGCGGAATGCCTGAATCGAGCCGACAGGTTTCTTATGTCAGTTCCTGCCACCCCCCACCACAAATCTAAATATCCCCAAATCCCCAAATTGTGCGCCCGACTAGGAAATGCCTCCTGCACCATGAACTGTCCAAGACGAGACCCAACGGAACCACCCAGCAGGGCCTTTCACAAGCCGTAGAAGGTTTCACAGGGTCCGGTAGGCTTTGATACGATGTTTGCATAGAGCTTCTTTCGGGCGCTCCGCCAATCTAGGGGCTCCAGTTTTCTTAGCCGGTTTAGAGGATCGAGATCATACGAGAACTGGGGCTTAGTTTTTATTTCATCGTGTCCAAATGTCAGCTTCCTCCGCTGGAAGACCCCTGCTGTTGTGGAAGACGCCATCAAGCATTGGCACCCCTGCGGTGGCCAATTGTAGGCTACACGCCTGCACGCTGCAAGGAGTGCTGTTCTCGAACTTTGTCGCCTTGTTTTGGACGCCTCCAGCTTGCACTGGACAGAGGTCTACTGCAGGGTTTAGGGCTCTCTCCAGCTGTAGGTGTAGTACGCAAACCGCGGCACGATTGACGACTACCGTAGGTTCATGGACAGTTTCTTGATTTGAGCCTTGAGCGCGTGACGGTTTCTTGTCGCATAGCCTACAATCACAGGTTCAGTGTCTGTTCCGTACACCCGTTCACGGCGTTTCGGCTGCATGTTGCGCCTCGCACGGGTGTTGCCAAAACACGGAAGCATCTATACACAGCCAGAGAACTTCAGGCGGAGTGTCCGATGTTTAGCAGAATTGCGCGCCACAAAACTTTCCGGGTGACAGGCAACAGAATGTTCGCGAATCCCCACAGCATTTTGGATTCAAAATAAGGGTGACATCATTGCAGTGTTCGTAGGCCCAGGAATCCCCACCGATAGGCGAGGGAAGCATCATGAGCCTCAAGACTCGTAGGTGCCATCCATACCGTCATCACCACCTGACCGCCACCATGGGATACTCCAGACAGTCGGATCACACATGAAAACAAACCCTAAGCCCTAAACCCAGCCCCCTCCCCATTCAGATCTTGTCGCCCCAAGCCCGACTCAGGTTGTCCCTCATCTTGACGACCTCCAAAAACAAAACAGAGAGGCCGAGACTAGACGATGGGATCTCGGGTGTTTACAGCCGATCAGCTGGTGATTTCATACTCCCTGCCTAAGTCTCTGTTCCCGCTGGTTAGGCCCCCGTCTCAGGAGAATTTTTCAAGATTTCATACAAGCTTCGTGTAAGTACAGGACTCATGCAGCTGTCCCTTGAAAGCAAGCGCTTGTTCTTCGTGGGTTTGCTATATGGGATCCTGCCACGCGCGGTCCTTCACGGCTTGTATTGTGCATGATGGGCATAGTGTCAATTGTCGCTTTCACCAGCTGCTGGCCAGGCAGCCACACCCAAGTTTGCAGCATTCTGTTGTGTCCCGTAGGCAAACCAAGGCAGTTCGCATTGCCAACCTTACCCCCTGCTTAGCTCTTGATGACGCAACCCTTCCTACAGTTGCTGACAGGCACCCTTGGCTTTACAGCAGTCTTTCTTGTAAAGCCGATCAAGAATTCGTGGTTTCCCGGAGTTGGAGATCAGGGCGATGTATGTTTGGATCAAGTCGAGGTTCGGGATGAGCCTGCAGTCCTTTTAGGAGGGATCCTACAAAAAGGTTGGTTTTGGTAGCTTAAGCTAGGGCTTACATAGTCCTTCCTTCTCCGTTTCCTGGTCATCTGCTGGCAAAATTGGGTTCTCGATCACGCAGGTTGGTGTCTGCATGCCAATGCCGGCACTGTTCCCCGACGCATAGTTAACCTTGTACAGTGTCGTTAAACCCGAAGGGTCCTAAGTACTCCTAAGACTATGGGGGAAACTTGCCCAAGCCACAATAGCAATTTCTATTCTAGAAGCCCTGCATGCTACTAAATAGGCACCTAGGATCCTTTGGGAAAGTAACGCTTATAGCAACCTTTTCGTGCCCTTTCCGTACTCTCACAGAGCCGTGCGGTAACCTCATCACACCCTCAGTCCTTTGCCCGGCCTCCTGGATGCCGCGTCGACCCAAACAGGCAGAATGGAACCGCCTCCACTGCGGCTCTCGCCACAAAATGAAGGCTTGAGATGTGGCCCAAAGTACAGGCTGGTCGGCAGAGTCCGATCCACATGTAAAGTCGTAGGCCCTTATAGGCAAGATTCGCGCGTCGGTTCATGACGCTTCATGTAAAGTTTGCCTTGCCTGGTGATCCTGCCTGAGCAAACTTCTATGTTTAGCCTGTTCGAACTGCATGTTCATGCAGCCTTAGATGAGCCAGTCGATCGGTAGACTGGGATTTGCGACCGCCTGAGCTCTCAGTTGCGAAGAAAGGGCAGCGGTCAGTATCAGGAGAAGTCGGAAGTGTGCTGAGCGTCCATAGTCTTGAGCATACAATGTATGATAAGACTTGTTCAGGCAGAACATCCCAAGTTTCTTCCGCCGTGCATCTTCTGATGGTCCGTCTTCTTCGGGGCTTTTCAATTCACCACAGACCTCTTCCAATCAGTCTGACCCCTATCAAACCCGAAACCCTCATCATGGAGGCACGCTCTTACAGACTCCTAAACCCCAAACCCCTAAACTCAAAACCCCGAAAACTCTAAACCCAAAGCCCTGAAAGCCTTAACCCCTAAACTCAAAACCGCTAGACCCCTAAACCCCTAAAGCCCTCAACCTCGAAGGGCCATTCTTCAGGCGTCTTTACCAACCCCCCCCCCCCTCCTTCCTCCAAGGTCCTCCAGGTGGAGCCCTCCAATGTAGAGGCGAAGCAGCGCCGCAGCCCCGGGTTTGCTTGGGGCTTTGGGTTTAGGGTTTAGGGCTTACCGTTTAGGGTTTGGGGCTTCGGGTTTGGGGCTTAGGGCTTTGCGTTTAGGTTTAGGGTTTAGGGCTTGGGGCAGGGCTTAGGGTTTAGGGTTTATTGCTTCGGGGTTCAGTGCTTACGGCTTAAGGCTTTGGGTTTAAGGCTTGGGGTTTAGGGTCTAGGGCTTGTAACTTCGGGTTTAGGGTTTAGGGGAACAGTAGGGTTTCGCGCTTGGGGTTTGGGGTTTAGTCATTCCACACCCCTAAACTATAGAAGAGGTAGAGACATGGTTCTTTTGGTGTTTGAGTTTTGGGTTGCAGACAGGACTTAGGGTTTAGGGTTTACTTATAGTCTCCCTTGTAGTTCCTGTTTGGGGTTACCGTGTTGGATCCTTAATATAGAATTGGATAAACCAAAAAAAGGGAACTGCACTGGAGACCATAGGTAGCTTGCTTTCTTTATGGAGTTTCTGATTTGGGGTTCTGTGGTAACCTGAGGCAGGGTTGGGTTTGGGATCTACTTGCGGGCTCGGGAGTCTCAAGGTGGGAGAGGGAGTCTTCGGGTCCCAGGGGCCCCAAACCCTGAACCCTAAACCCTAAACCCTAGTGTAGGGTTTAGGGTTCTAGTTTAGGGTTTAGGGTTCTAGTTCAGGTTTAGGGTTCTAGTTTAGGGTTTAGGGTTCTAGTTCAGGTTTAGGGTTCTAGTTTAGGGTTTAGGGTTCAAAGCACGGGAGTCTGGGTTTGCAGAACATGGTGGCGCAGTTCTGTGAATGAGGAGTCGCAGCTTCGATGCCCTATTAGGTACTTAGACCCATAAGGTTCTAGGTAACATTCTCCTAAGTAGCGACATCTTGGGTGGGCCAAGGTGTTTGCGCTCAGCAAAGCCGTCTCGAGGAGAAGGGTGAGGCGAGACTCCGCATCGAGTTTCGAACATAAATAACATAATGGGGCCCACATCTTATTCGAAATTGAAACCTCATATCAACTAGTAGCTATCGCAAATAGGAACTATTGTAGGAGTTAAGACATAAAACTAAATACTGGTAGCTAAACTGTGATGAAAAGCTCTCCGCATCAAAGCTCGCACGAAAAGCATTCAGGTTCCGTGTCAGGGCTTCAGTCAGAAAGAGGTGAATGCAGGTGTTATTGGCTAGGGGTTTAAAGCGGTTTAGAGGATCTCTTGGGGTTGAGGGTTTAGGATGTTGAGGGTTGTTGCTGTTCAGTGTGGCTGCATTTGAGGGTTTACTGAGGTTTCGACGTTTCAATGTAGTGCTACTCTGCCCTGGCCCTCGCAACACCCAGAGTTCCTACAGGTATGCAAGGATCTTTGATGGCTTGCTTGCATGGTTTCGTACGGTTTTGGGGTTCTGTGAAGGTTGTACTGAAATCCTCCAACCTTTGGGTTGTACTGAAAACCTCCAATCTCTGGATGAAGCTTGTGTAGATCAGGGTCATGAAGAACTACAGTAGCGCTTGGGTGGTACATTTTCGTAGAGCTGTCGGCCCCCCCGGTAGCATTCGCTTTCAGAGTTCGAAGAAGCCAAAATCTGAAAATGACTGTAAGGGCCTGGAGTGCCAGGGTTCAGGCCCACCACTTGCCTGTGAAAGCCTGAGCCCCTCACTTTGCACTGACTCCAGGGCTCCCAAGGAGGGTTTAGGAGCTTAGGAGTTTAGGCTTTAGGGTTTCGGGCCCTACAACCACGGAGCAGATATCGAGGTATGGCTCCTTGCTCTGCAAGTTCGATGTATATAGGGTTTAGGGTTTAGGGTAGGGTTTAGGGTTGAAGGTTGCGAGGCGACTAGATTGTGGCCTTGTAAGACCTGGCGTCACACCGGATCTGCTGCCTTGGCCGCTGATCCTACACTCAAACAGCCTTCAGAAAACCCACCATCTGACGCCAATAAGCCCTGTAGTGTCTAGAGTCTCAACCTCTGAACCCTGGGCCCCCCGAACCCGTGAAGCTAAGCCTTGTCAGAGTTTCGGGCTTAGGGCTTGGGGTTTCGGTTGTAGATCTTAAACCCGAAATCCTCTACCCCAAACATTGCGCCTCTGAATTTGGGAGGATTCCACGAGGGCCAAAGCCATCCTCGCAAATCACCGGCCCTGATACAGGGTGCAGGAGCAGGGAGGTGTAACATCGCGGGCTTTGGAGTACATGGTGTAAGAAGATAATATGCGCCTTTCTGGTCTCGAGTCACCCGGAACACCCCCAACCCCGAACCCCCTAAACCCTAAACCCGGAACCCCTAAACCTAAACCCCTAAACCCTAAGCCCTTAACCCCTAAATCACCAAGCCCTAAGCCCGACACCCTGAATCCTTTCTCGGAAAGACCGCAAACGGAACCCGGAGCCGGCTCTGGGAACCCCCGCGACCCGGAGCCGACACCGGGAACCTGGAGCCGACAAGAAGGGGCCTACATAGATAGTTAGAATAGGGTTCCTTTAAAGGGGGTTCCTTAAAAGGGTTACTGTAAGGGCTACTATAAGGGAGGGGCGTACATAGATAGTTAGAATAGGGTTCCTTTAAAGGGGGTTCCTTAAAAGGGGTACTATAAGGGCTACTATAAGGGGTTTAGGGGCCTACATAAATAGGTAGAATAGTGTTCCTTTAAAGGGGGTTCCTTAAAAGGGTTACTGTAAGGGCTACTATAAGGGAGGGGCCTACATAGATAGTTAGAATAGGGTTCCTTTAAAGGGGGTTCCTTAAAAGGGGTACTATAAGGGCTACTATAGGGGGTTTAGGGGCCTACATAAATAATTAGAATAGGGTTTGGGGGTATACTATACTATAGTCATTACAAGGAACCTCAAAAATAGTGGAGGTAATTACTACGGCTCCTATAGTAGATGAAATGGATCTCCTCAAAACCCAAATCTTCTTATCCTCAAACCCCTGCTTGCGGAGTTGCTGTCCATCTGCAATGAGTCTCTAAAGCCAAGCTAACTTCCCGAAGCCAAAAAAACACCGATAGTGGGTTCGGCCTTTCTTCAGGCTTTTTGACGTCTGGTCGTGTCTTTCCGCAAACCGCTCTATCTCGTCACAATCTACAGACATACAGCGGGCCCTGCAGGAGTTAATGGACGCCAACCTGAGTGGCGCAGGCCTCTCACGGCAGTAGCTTTAGGAGCTTTAGGATGCACGCTTTTCCCCAAATGCACAGGCAAGGAATGCAGCTATCCCGATCCAGAAGGCTCTCCTACGACCAGAGGCCTTTTAGAACGACCCATAGGTCCACTCATGGGTCCATGTTTGTTTTAGTGTGTCAGGGTGTAGGGTGGTGCTCTTTAGCGCTGAGGTATTAGGGTTCGGGGGCTTGCAGGGCCTTCAGGTTTAGGTATTAGGTTTAGGGTTTAGGGTGTAGGGTTTCATGCCTCGTCCGTCGAGAGTGACTGAGATATCCTACTGAAAAGCCAAGATTAACGGAAAACAGGCCCGTATAAGCCAAGCATGTGTGTAGCAATTCTTGACGTGCAGCCCTTGCATGGTGCAAGCCCTAAATTACCAACATAGAGTAGTTCCGTGCAATCCACGCCAGGAATATGTATGGAATCCTACCAATTCCAAAAGCCGAATCTCCAAACCATAGCCTACAAACCCTAATATGGGGGGCCTAAATAATTACCAATAGTATTTTGGGGGGGTGCCTTGTTATGATTATGGTAATTATGGTATAATATACCCCAAAACCCTGTTCCAAGTACGAAAGGCCCTTACATTCTTTCATTCGAGCCTTTCGAGAGCCTTGGTGCAAGTTTGGACATGAATTCGCCGGGGCATCCCCGCTGCATGTGAAGCAAAAGCCGTGACCTCACTGCTTGAATGCCTCGGCGTTTCGTATTTCTGGGCTTTGCGGAGTTTTCGTCGGTTTAGAGGAACATGGTTTGTAGAATCCGGAATTCTGGCACTTCACTGTGGGGTGTAGGGTTTAGGGTTTAGTTTTTAGGGTTCAGGGTTTAGGGTTGGGACATGTGGTTTGAGGTTTCGGGTTTCCTGCTGCATCGCTCTCCACAGCATGGTTCCATGGCCTTTTGGTTGCACGGCTTTGCGAACACCGGGCGTTGGGAATGTCTAATCCCAAACACTATATGACCCCGATCACACGAAACTCTGAGCCTTCAAAGGTTCATGGCAGGGAGATCCTGTTAACGCTAACCCTCAACCCTATCAACTCCTTGTTTCGGTGGGAGGGTTAGAGCGGCCCCCAACGGTGAAAATCTGCAGAAACATAGGTGTCCGTACCGTCTGGAAGAAACCCATACAGTCAGAGGTTTCGGGT